ATGCATATACATACATATATATATATTCATTTTTATATACTACCCATATTTTAAATGGGTTGGTTGGTTGTTTGCTTTTTAATTGAAGTATAGCTGATTTAAAAAAAAACTTAATAATGCTTAAGAAAAAATAATAACTGTACCTAAGCACTCACTTCTAGCATAATCTGACTATTTTATCTAGCATGTAAATATAAAGTTTCCAAAAGGAGCCAACAAAACAAAACAAATAAAACAGAACAAAGAAAAGCTATTGTGAATGAAGCAGTGATGATTAAATAGACTCAGAAGGACAATTATGACCTTTAACAAAAATGATATTCTTCATTAGTTAGCAATCTTTTAACCAGCCGTAAGGGGTCATAGAGTTTCAGGTGTGGAACATAATCTAGCTTCATTCAACTCTTCCCCCACGATTTTCCCAGTCCGGGTGTTCTAAGCAAAAAATGCTGACAGAAGATGTATGATTATATTTATATTTATTATGATAAATTTTACCTAGATTTATAACATAATATAAATAATAAATATAGCATAAATATAATATAGTTGCTGATTAAAAATAATAATATATTGTTGACTGATTAATAATATATTATTGACTGAAAAAAAAATCCTTACACAACCTGGAAGTTGAGCAGTAAGTTTTATTCAGGGCATTGCTGAGAACTAAAGCCCAGGAAGGCCCTCAGACAGCTGTGAGCAACTGTTCCAAAGAGGTAAGGGAGGAGCCAGGATATATAGGAGTTTTTGCTGAAAAGAAAACAAAAAAGCTTGTAGTCTAACATCAAAAGATAATTGCTAATCACAAAAACATACATCTTAAGATTTTAGTGTTTTTCTATGTATGGGAAGATGCAAGAGTCTGGCTTATTGAAATTGTTCCTTTGATGTGTATCTTAACTAAAGCCAGTATCCTGTTTTCTCCCTCCTGAATGCCCTCAGGGTGCACCCTTGATGGGGCAGCTGCAGTGACTGATGGCTTTATAGCCACAATATCCTTTGTTTATTGAAAGGACAGACCTTCTTTTTCCACAATATAAATGTTATGATTATAATTATATATTATATATAAACTAGTGTATTATATAAATATACTGTATTAAATTATATAAATTTAATGATTCTTAGTGCTAAAAATAAACTATTACATAGATTATATATAATTTGTATATAAATAAGTTTTCAAACCAACTGCCAATAGTGGACAACAAAAATGCCTGACAGAAGATTTATGATCATATTTAAATTTATTATATAAACCATAACTTATAAATTATATTTTATATCATTTATAATTTATATAATAATAATATGTAATTATTATAATGCTATTTATATAATATTAATAATATAACAGAATCAAAATAATTAATGTAAACAATATTTTATATAATATATTATGCAATGGATTATATAATATATAAGTAATAATATACAAATTTTATATATAATTAAAATTATATATTATACATCATATAAATATGATATATTGAATTATATAAATGTAATAATTCTTAATCTAAAATATATTTTTAAATTATATATAATTTATATATAAATATAATACATTATATATTTCTATAATTATATTTAATTTATTATATAAGCTTTATTTTTATTTATGATAGATCTCCTGCCTTGTGTTTTCTGCTTATCCCTTTAGTTCTGATTGAAGATTTGAAAACATGAGCCTTTCAATTGCAGTGGATCAAACCAGAATGTGTGCAAAAATCAGTACAACCATCTCTGTGTCTGTTGAAACATAGTAGATGTTAAGTACCTGTCTATTCAATGAACTCATTAGTGATGTGTTTAATGTCAATAATGTCACAACTGCCTATGAAGGGTGTTTCATTTTATTAAATATCCAGAGATGTAGTGAGAGGACTTTATGCCAAAATTAAACGCTACAATAAGCTTTGTATATTCATTTTCTCTGATGTGAAAAGCTAGTTACAAGTAAAGATTTTTCTCCAGCTTTGGGTAGAGTCACTTTCAGAATTCAGAGCCGAGAAATAAACTTAGAGCCTCATGTGTACGGTCAGTAAATGCCTCAATGAATTGGAAGTTCCCGAACCCAAAAAATGAACACAGAATTGTAAAATAGTACTCATAAAGGGAAAAGCCAAACAGACTTCTGTTTTGCCATATATTGCAGCGATTTCTAGATTTCAGTTAGACTCTGTCAACTGAAATAAATGCACAGCCTAAAAGTTGAGAGCTATGTTTTATTTGGCAGGAGGACTCGAGCCGGGACGACAGCCTCTCAGATCGCTCTGAGGTGCTGCTCCGAAGAGGTAGGGGAGGAGCTAGGATATGTAGGAGCTTTACAACAAAGACCAGGTAGTTGGAACAATAAAAGATTACTTGTTATCTAAAGAAAACCAGGCATCTCAAGTTAAAGACTTCAGCGCTTTTCTATGTCTGGGAGGAAGCAGACATTTGGGCTCATTGAATTCATTCCTTTGACAAGCACCTAGCTATCTAGGGCCAGTATCCTGTCCTTTCTTATTCTGAGTCCCCTCGCTCGGAGTGCACCATTGTGAGAGGCTGCAGAGGCCGGGCTGCAGGCTTGTCCTTACCAGGGGGTGGCGGCAGCCGCTGATGACTTGGTTTCAGCATTCTTTGTTTACTGATATGGTTGCAGTATTTTCATTCACATTGCAGTATTTTCGTTCACAACTCCAAGTTTGGATTGAGGTTAAAAGTCACAATCTTAATGACTCAACCTTAAGTCACCTCTGAATTATAGGGGAGAGGAGCCATCACAGGAGGAAACACCTTCAGTCACAAGGAATCTTCCCTACACTTCCTTCTTTGACCATTCTTTACCTTTTAGTTGATACATGCAGTCAGCGCTGGCAGTTGTGGAATATTTAAACGCACATTGGTAAATAATCTCTCAGCTCTTTGCACTCAGAGATCCTTACTGTACTTTCCTTGTATCAGCCCCAACACCTAATGAAGATCAGAGAATAATATGTTGTTTAATATACATGGATAATTGGTTGATTTAGATATGTTTTATAAAGTGTTCCTATCCAGAGACCTGAAATTATCAATGTCCTCTTAAGAATCCAACTAGAGGATTTAAGCACGAGACAAACTGGTGGTCATTGTGTGAGGTGTACTTGCACAGGTAAGAAAGTCAGCGTAAGGTTCTGTCTCCAAACCTCACAGCAGTCCAGTGAGGGAAATACTATTGACCCCACTTTAAAGATGAAAAAACTGAGAATTACTGTGGTGTTTCTCAAAGTATGACCCTGGAGACGGTGTTCACATCACCTGGGCTCATCTGTGGGCCCACTCTGGACATACTGAATCAGAGACTCTGGGAAGGGACCCAACTTTCTTGAGTTCTACCAAGTGTGCTAAAGTTAGAGAGCTGCTGCTTTAGAGAATGTAAGCGATTTGTTTGATCCAGGACACACCCAGTTGGGAAGGGCTGAGATGGGAGTTGAATCCACGCATCCAAAGCCATTCGCTCCCCGCAGCCCACTTCCTTACGCTGGGGAGTCTCTCCCACTCCCTCGAAAGGCCAGGCCTGTATGAGAGCTAACATTCAACAAGGGAAGAGAATCCAGTTCCTAGAGGAGTCTCACAATCCCAGAATTTTAAAGACTCTCAAGTTTACACATGAAGTCCAAAGAAGTAAATATATAATTTTCCTGATTCAGATAAAACACACGTAATGGTTTTGGTCTATAATTGTAGAGGTCAGCAAGGGCTTTCTAAGTAGAGCCTTACACTAATTTTATTCAGTGCTTTCTTTAAAATTTCTTTTCATGGGCATTAAAAATAACCTTTTCCTCTTTATCTGCTCCAGTACTAACAATGAGCTGGTGCTAAAGCTGTACAGTAGTTCATCGACTGCATGGTTTATGTACATGTAATTTGTGTCCTAATTAGGCATTTATTTTCCTTCTTTGACTTATGCAGGCCTATAAAGTTTTCTAAGGAGAGTAAAAGATTTTACAAATCTCTGAACTGGCCTTGTTGGAAGTAACATAATATGACCCAGGTTTTGGCATCAGAATCAGCTGTATTTGACACAACTTGAACAACTTACTAGTCAAGCAATTTATTTAGGTTCCCTATGCCCCTGTTCACCATCTAAAATGGAAGTAAGAACTGTACCTGTTTCACTGCGTGGTTTCAAGGATTTATAAGATAACTTAATGAAGCACTTGACAGCTCCTGCACGTAATAAAAGCTCAGTGAATGCTTACCCTTATTTTTATTATGACTGTTACTAGCCGTGTAGAACACTACAGCTGAGCTCCAGGTCTGCCGTTTGCACACGTATTCATTTCTTCAGAATGCTGCTTCCTTTTACGTCATCCCTCACAACGTTTTGTAGAGCTGTTTTAATTTTCAGTAGCTCTTTCTTCTGCGGGAGTTTTGTCTCCCCCAGTTCACAAACCATTCACTCAAACATCTATTCATTCCAATGACTCAGGTTGTTACAGTCATGGTCCAGAGTAGGAGCCTTTTCCCCAAAGCTGATTAGAGGAGTGATGCTTATTATGGAAGGTCCTTTTGATGCAGGAAAATGGGGCACGAGAGGATGGTCGTGTCCCAGGTCCCGGGTGAGTCCCTGGGATGCACCCTGCCAAGGGAGGGTCCTTGGCTTCACACAGGAAAGAATTCAAGAATGAGCCATAGTTCAGTAAAAGTAGATTTATTCAGAGAGATGCACACTCCATAGACAGAGTGCAGACCATCTCAGAAGGCAAAGGAGAGCAAGAGGCCTAGGAGATACACATTCCATAGGCAGAATACCAGCCATCTCGGGAGACAAGAGGAGACAGGTGGTGGCCTCAGAGCATGAGGTTGTCTAGGAAAATGAGACTGGCCACAAGGTGTGGGGGTGGTTAAAGTAAAAGCAGATACACACCCCATATAAGGCTGCAGGCCATCTCAGAAGGCAAGAGAGAGCAAACACGAGGTGCAGAGTTGTTAGTTTTTATGGCCTTGGTAACTTCATATGCTAACAAGTGGGAAGATTATTACAACTACTTTGGGCAAGGGGCGGGGATTCCCTGGAATTGGGCCACTGCCCATTTTTTGGCCTTGAATGGTCAGCCTCGGAACTGTCATGGCACCTGTGGGAGTGCCTATTCATATGCTAATATATTACAATGAGTGTATAATGAAGCTCAGGGTCTACTGGGAGTCAAATCTTCAATTGCTGTGTCATTCCCTGGTTGTGCCCTGCCCCCTTCCCTTCTGTCTCACTTTCTCTGAAAGTATCCTTGCCACCAATCACTGGAATTCGGTCATCTTTAGCAATTCATTCTATTGTGTCAAGATCAGCTCTTCCCTCTCCACACTCCCCTTTTCAAACAAAGATGCTACTGAATATGGGTAATGTACTCAACCATCAGTGTGAATAAATTGTCAGACTGAATGAGAGAAGTGTGGATCTTGACACTTGTGGATCATGACAGTATATTAGATTCTGCTGGGGAACAGACTGAAAGGACTGAAAGTTCTCTAATGGGCTCTCCATGTGCTGTGCTTTAGACAGAACTTTGTAAAAAGTGGTAAAGGTCTTTGCCTTGGAAGTCAACACAAAGTTTCAGAAGTGTCTTTCCATGTACGTAGTTTCATCTGAGAAATGTTAGCTCCATGACCTTCCTAGAATCAGGGTAAAAATATTGAACACAAATGTCACCAAGCAAATGCATAGTGGTATCATACCTATAACTGGCTTAGGCAAACCAAACAGATAGATAGACAGACAGATAGGTGACAAGTAATTCCACATACACATACCTTCATGAAATCTTTAATCAGAACCAAGCACACAGCATATGAAAATTAAAATTAAGAAACCCAACGCCAGCCTTTCCACCTACACCTATTAAACCAACAACTTTAATCTAATTAGCACCAAAAAGGTACACAATTGAGGTAAAAGTTCAATGCTAACAATGAGATAATGGTGATGGTCAATAACCCTAGAGCCTCTTTTGATAATAAAGCGTCTGGGTCCTCATTAAATTAGCTGACTTGATACCCTAAAGTTGCAAAATTAGCATCTCCACCCTCCTAAAGCCCTCACTGTGCATCATGACCAATTACCCTCAACAAGCATGAGCCTGCTTGGGCTTTACACGCTACAGTGAGTGGCTGGAGACGAGTTGGGCACGTTTCCAAGCCTTCCTAAGTATGAAAATAAACATATATTCAAATGAGGGTAAACAGTGACCTAATGGGAAACGTTCAGTCAACTGTCTGAGGACCAGTTCAGACTGGCACCTTTATCCCTTTCAGTTTCGCCTGCCCCTCCCCGTCAGTGGCATGACTAGGCATGGTAGCGTGCTGCGGTGGGGAGGGGAGTGGTGGTCCCTGCAGAAGTCCAGGTGTTTTGCCCAAACACTGATTACGACACCCTCCCCAACAGCAGCAGGCATCCCATCTGCAAAAGCCTGATAACTCCATCCCATCCTGCTCATTCAAGGGCCCCCTTTTCATCCTCAGCTTGAGGCAGATCTCAATGGGCTGAACGAGTATGAGAAACTGAGATAAGTGCTTAGCTACAATTAGAGAGATGCCTGTGTGTGCTGCAATTAGGGTTGTGTCAGTGCTTCATTAACCTTTGCCTTGCCAGCATTTTCCCACGTGGCACTCCAAGTGAGTAACAACGTTTATGTTAGGAAGGAACACAAGCAGCTGAGGCACAGGCCAGGTTGAGGAGGGTGAAAAGGGATGGGAGTGGAGGGTGACAGCCTCCATGGAGCTGCTCGACAAGTAGTGCCGGGAACCGACAGGTTTACGAGTGGCTCCCACACTGCCGGTCCTGTACTCTCTGATGTTGAAACGATTTCCAGTGATGTTGTAGACTTGTAACTGTGTCACCTGAGAGAGTGTGGGCTCTGGAAAGGTCTCAAGAATTTATCAGGGCCTTTCTTTGAATGATTTAGGTTTCCTGATCAAATACTCCTTTTCTTTTTTTCCCTTTTAATGGAGGTACGGGGTTGAACCCAGGACCTTCTGTATGCTAAGCATGTGCTCTACCACTGAGCTATAATACCCCTCCCCAGATACTCCTTTTCAATAGTGTAATGATTGTGACCATTTTGAAACAAAGTACACAATTTCTGATTATCAGTGGAGTTTATTAACTCCTTGTGTACACACCCATTATTTCATTTGACCCTCACCATTATCTAATGAGATTGATAGAATATTTGTTAGGTTCCTTTGATGGAAATGAAATGAAAAGCAGAGCAGTTAAGCAACTTTCTCAAAATCACACAGCAGGTTAAGTCCAGGACCCACCCAAACCTAAACATATTGATTAACATCCAGGACCGGTCACATTAGTCATCACCACTAAGAACTGAGAAAGCTCAAGTACCTTTTCTTCCCTGTACCACAAGGGGAAAAAAAAAACACAGATTTTGAGAAAGCTTGTCTTAGTCACCATTAAGAAATATTTATCAGGCACTTTCTATGTAAAACAGATCTTTTTTTCTTTACTATATAGTCAGGCCTCAAGACGGCTGTTCCCTTGCTCTTAACCTACATTACCTGCTTTACCTATACCCAACTCTCGAGACTGATCTTCCTACCGACTTGCCCCAGGCCTCAGCTGGTGATTGCTCTTATCAAAGGGGCAATGAGGGGCAGGGCCTCTGCTGGTTTCCGTGGTAACAAACGAGCCAACCTGATTTCAGTTCCCCATGCTAACCTCTCCTTGACCCCAGGAGCAAGGACTGCCACAGTGTTGTGCCCACCTTCTGCCCAACAGGGTAGGGAGTTGCTGTAGGACCTGGCTTCAGACACGTAAGCTCCCTCTATCCATTAAACCATTGATGTCTCTGTCACTGACCCCAGCTCTTTCTTCCCTCTTGAAGTTGGGCGAGTACTGGCCTTGGAGGCCTACGAGGTGCAGCCCAACATTTACTAACCCTCCTCCAGTATCTGAAAACTTTTTCACTAAAATTCTTGGTTACCTCTTGTTATTCAGCCTTGAACTCTGTTAAAACTGAAAACAGAACAATAATCTTTTCCTAAAAACCAGATTCCATTGTTCTGTCGTATTTGCTTTGCTTCAAATAGCCATGGGTAAAACTGAAAGGAATGCTACTGTCAGCATCCTTTTACCTAGACGGTCTGATCTCTTCCCTCAGATGCTTGGTCTTAGGAATTTTGAAATGGCACTGATTTGAGTTCAGTTCTTTTTTTTTTTAAGTTAAAAAAGTTAATTACATCAAATTTTGTTTGCCTAACTCTGGTTCAGAATGCTTTTTTCCCATCAAAACGTAAGGCCAATTTCAAGTCCATGTGGCCCACTGATCTGACTGATTTTGCAGCTGTGTGTCAAACCAACTTGGACTGTGCAAGTCTGAGTTGATTATCAAGAAATCAAAGGCTAAATTTCAAGTGGCTTTGGGCTAAATTAGTGATTCCCAAACCTGCTGATGATAAAATTAACCTGGGGCCGTTGTTAAAAATACAGAGCTCCAAGTTTTTCTGGAATTCCTAGTTTTAAGAAGAGCCTTAAGTGATTACTTTGCTCAGCTAACTTTGGGAAACATGGTGCTAAATGTTCATTTTAAATAAAAACCAAGTGTAAAGCAGGAATCCTGGTTGTTTTGTTTGTTTGTTTTAAAGCTCTCAGGGTGTTCTTTTTTTCTTTTGCTATATTAATACAAAATGTAGTAACTTACTTAGTGAACTTCTTGTAGTTAAGTGGAAAAATTGATGATGATATAGGTTAATACCAAGATCTGAAAAGGAATAAACAAAACTGTGATATTTATTTTACAGTATACAGGAGTCACTTCCTTATCACTTGTAAAATGATATTTTTATAAGTCCTTACATTTATTTTTCTCTTCTAAAAAATTTTAAATGACTTTATTGTGGCATAGTTTCTGTATAGTAAACTATACATATTTCGGATGTACAATTTGATAAATTTTGATAGATGTACACACCCATGCAACCACCACCACAATCAAGATACCTAACATTTCCGTCACTCCCCAAGGGGTGCAGATTTCAGGCTCCTTAGATGTTCTCTTAATTCAAGAAAGTGAAACTAATTTATATCGGTTGAGCCTGGGAAAGTAAAAGTATTATGAAATATGGCTTTTGTACCCTACCTAATATATTTCACAAAATTTGGGTTATAATTTTGTCTGTAGGCATCAATTTTTTGAGAATTTGTGTCACAAGCAACTCAGCACTGTGCTTGGCATAAAGTACTTAATATTTCATTAAGGAATGAATGGAGAAAATGACTCAAGTCCCCACCTCTCCATAAAGTCCTCACCCATCTTTCCAACAACCTGTAATATCTTTTCCTCTTCTCATATTCCCGTAATAAACATAGCCAACTCCACCCCACAGTGCACTTGATCCAATTATATTCTATTGTTCCTATAAGGCAGTACAGTGTCATAAAAAGAAATAGGGCTTTAGATTCAAACACACATAGACAAATTTCTTAACTCCTGATCTGCAAAATGAGGATATGCTAAGTATCTCCCAGGTTGTTGAGGGGATTAAATGAGTAATGTCTGCCCAGTACTGGACTCTACACCATTCGAAGGCATGAGTCTTCTCAGCACTGAATGCAGTGCAAGGTCACCATCAGAGCTTAGTTTACTGTATTTTCCTTCCTTCTTTGAATAATCTACAAATGCCTCAAAATGAGGGACCAAGTCTTACA